TAGAAAAATAGGAACCACCTTTGGTGGGAAGGTAACAGCGTTCTGTATACCTTCGGCATTTAGTCATGCTGTCCACATGACCAAGGAGACATCTTTGGATAGCGCTGACTGTTCAGCTTTAAAACAGAGATGAGCACCGCCCCCTAGAATCAGGAATGACTAGCACATATGTGCTAGAGAAACCTTTGCCTTTTCCATGTAACAAGATTATATATCCCTTTTCTTGTCAGGTTTCTTGCACTTTTTCTTTTTAACCAATCATCATTATTTCATACTGTTACTAGTTCTGGTTAAAAGTATGTTAAAAACGTCAAAATTCCATTTCTGCTGTGTTTGATCTGTGTGACCCTTCAGATGCAACAATTTTAAACTTCAGCTAGGTTGAATTTTGCACATAAAGTATTCAGCCCTCTGGTAATTGCTGAGAATAATACATACATCTGAATGGAAAGCCTGAACTAGTCATTGAACTGAATATTTTATACTTTTAAATATATGAGACTACTGAGGAATATGTGTTAGAGAAAGGAAGTGCATATTAATTTTCAGACTTCCTGTAAAGGGTGCACTTTTGTGAAAAGTAAATCTTGTTATATATCTTTGAAACTGTAAAATTAGAGATGGTTTAGTCAAATTATATCTAAATGTGCTGCAATAAAGCCTGAAAAGTGTTTATTAAAAGTGATTGACAAAGAGGAAAATATAGTAGCTAGTTATTTTACAAATAATTTTACAGCAGCCCATAACATTAAAATAATGGACTATATCTTTAATTCCAAGCACTATCCTTAAAACCTTCCATCAGAGTATTACCAAGGAAACCCTATGCCTTTCACAATAAGTCTTGTATAGGTACCATTCTATATAGGATATCGCATGAAATCTCAAAGTACAAGAGATTCTTTGGGAACTATATATCTAAGCTCCAAGATGTTAGACTTTCATCAATTAAAGTAAGCACTTTGAATTTTCCTTAGAGACAAAAAGGAAGCAGGGCATAGGATTGCAGATGTTATCTAATTAATTATAGTGGAAAGTTTAGCAATAGTGATTCTTAACTAGGTTTATATTTTAGTCTTCAAAGATCGTCCTATGTACACTCTTTGCTCTAATCAACTTCGTTACAATTACATTTTCTTCTTGATACTTTATATGGCAAAACTACAGAGAGAAGAAGTTATATAATATTGTTTATGCTTATATTACCCAGGCTATGATATAAACACATGCCTTGTTCATAAATGACTAACTGCAATATATCAATTTTAAGGCCTTGGTGACATGAAATCACAAATGTATTTCTGAATTAAATAAGCTTTATCTGTTGTAGAAGCAATACTTCTAAGTAAATATCATATGTGGCACATATCTGAGTTCCTACCTCTTTAAAGATATAAATGTAACTTGACTGACATAAGAATAAAAGAGCTCTTTCATGAAGGTGTAACATTGATCAATTGCCTAGAGCAGATGGCTAAAGGGAACAATGAAGGGTGCATAGTGGGGTTTTTTCACAATAATACTGTGCTTTTTCTTTCTGAAATTGCAGCTCTAGCAGTTGTGAATTGTCTTTTCCTACTAAAATTTATCTTGCTTAATTCTATGAGTATTACCATTCTACAGTAAGCAAATATATTTGTTTTATTATTCCCTCTAGTGCAGTATCATCATGAATTTTTACATAAGTCTGCAATTTAAATTGTCACTGTATTCTTATCTACAAATACATATTTTATTATACTTCTATATTTGTAAAGGTTGTCTCTGACAATTATGTATTAATATATGCACCATTACGATACATTTGCATTTATGTGGCTTACCATTTCATGCCATTGATAATAATTGTATTTTGAATACTTTTATTTAAAGCACAAAATAAACTAAAGTAGAAATAGGACCCTTTAAAACAGGGAAACCCCTGCTATTTTCTTTTCTAACATTTGTTAGATAGGAAGAGAATCGTTATATTGGAAGATAGCTAAACAGCAAAAGATAGTGAATGAAAGAACATTAAAGAGCAAAGGGGGAAAAAAAACATCAGAGGACATTTAGCTAAGAGAGGTTTTTCTTCTTTTTTTAAAAGCCCACTTCCTAGAAAGGAAGTAAGGATATTGCCTTATTCTCATTTTCATTCTCATTCTCTCTCTCTTTCTCCCTCTCTCTCTCTTTCTCCCTCTCTNATATATATATATATATATATATATTATGTGACTTTTTAGATGTAGATTGGGGTGTGTTGATGACTGGCTTTAAATATAGGTTAATCATCATTGCTATACTAATGTAACCCCAGTTAAATTTAATGGAGCTTGCTTTTGAATAAGATGCCACATTATAAGTTATCTTTCAAAAAAGTACATTACGTTTTGTAAAGTATTTAAAAAGCTGAAGTAAATTTTATATGTGCTGTAGCTATTCCTTTTTAAGAAAAATTATCTCTTGTATTTTGTTTTTGGAGACCCATATCCTTTTGAAGTTCATATCCATTTTTCAGATTTACATACCGTATTTTTCTGAAACTTTACTGCTATGTTTATATTTATTGTGACTTTTCACTGTCATAGTTTGAGCTTTATTAATAATATGCTTACATAATACTCCAGTTATCTTGTACATTTTTAAAATTTGTTTTTTGTTTTCCTTCTTTGTTTGTAGAAACTCTTCTGGATGACTTCCTCCTTACATACACAGTCTTCATGACAACAGATGACTTGTGTCAAGCTCTGCTGAGACAATATCCTTCTCTATAGAACAAGGGGAAACCATTCATTCAGGCCTCATTGTGTCTAGTGATCTTTATAGGTTAGCTATAGGGCAAGTCTACATAACTTCTTTGGCCCTATTAAGGATAGTTTATTAATCGTTGGAGTAGATACATCTATGTACCACTGCTTATATCTCAACTTTCATCCAAAGTTGATGGAAGGTCAGATTTAGCATTAAAAAATAATTTAATTCCATTCCCAATAAAAATGACAATAGGCTCTTTAATCAATAATACCACTTCCTTTATTCAGCTTACAGGAATATAATACAGCCATTACTTTAATTTTCAGCACAGCCTAATAGCATTTGAGAATTTCACTTGGCAGTGTTGCATGAAGCATAGTTTTAGTTTAATAATTTGAAATCAAATATATTCATAAATTATTTATTAATCAAATTTATATGCCACCCATCTCACTGTATAAATCATTCTGAAAGACTTGTGCTGATTCTCAATGGTTTATAATTATATTTAATTATGTTTGTGTTTTATTTATTTTTTATCATTTTTGTATTAAGAAAAAAAAAAGACAACCTAGACCAGGGGTGTCAACTCAAGGCCCGTGGGCCGGATACGGATGATGGCCCTCTTAGATCTGCCCCGTAAGCCCACCCTGGAAAAAGTGAAGGAGTGACCCACAGTGACTCTGTTAGAGAAAATGGAGCTTGGGCAGGCCACACACAGCCCGCCTGGGCTCTGTTTTTGCAGGCAGAAAGATGCAGGAGACCATCGTGGCTGAAAACAGAGCATGTGTGGGCTGTCATGGCTGAAAACAGAGCCTTGAGTGATGAATTGGCCACACCCTGGCCACACACCCCAGTCCACTGAGAACACAACCCTGATATAGCCCTCAATGAAATTGAGTTTGACATCACTGACCTAGACTAATACTTGTATTAGTTGCAATGTTTGGGAAATTTCAATCTTTGCAATGTTCTCTTTATTCAGAGATAAGATGGGAAATTCTTACATTACTTAGTATATAAGAAAAATTTGTGTTGTATACTAAAATCTAGCTTCTGACAAGAGACAGATGCTTTCACATATTACTTAAATATTTTAAATTATTACTGAATAAACCTTACATTCAAATCATTTTATTTATTTCATTATATTTTAAAGCTTCAGTAAAATCAATAAGTACTCAAAGCTGCTTAAATAAATTGAAAAAAAAGTATATTCAGACAATAGGATGAAAAATTATGTTGTTTTTGAGATTTAACCTTAACTTGCCTCCACTTATTGTGCTAAGAACCATCAGGACAAGGAAAGAATTGTTGATATTCCCTGTAGAAAGAGAAAAGTCTTGCATTTGGTGTCACAGTGGACTTCACTCTACAAAGACTGGTTGCATGAAGATGAGCATTTGAAGCAGTTTCTTAAGGTATGATTACGTAAATATTTTCTGATACAGAACAATAATTATACATTTTTTTAAAAATCCAAAGCTACCTTAATATGTGCAACCTGTAATAGTATATTTGAGGTAAGCTCACTTATTGAATATAGAACCAACATTTATAATGTAATATCTCTACTGGGTGCTTCTAGCCTTCTTCAAATTATCTCCAAATAATTGCTCTTCTGTTATGATCTAAAAGTGAACAATTAACCAAGATTCCGGAGTTCAGAGGATTTAGTGTTCTAATAATGGGTTTATGCATTACATATTATGTAATGTCCATGGAGTGTCATGGTTTTTCACAATTATATGAGATGGAAAAAGGTATTGTAACCGTACATACAAAAAACAGGATTAAGATGGAGTAATAAATCTTGACCGGTTGTAGAAAGCACATAGATGATAAACTAGTTGTCATAAAATTTGATTGATTATGTGCCATTAAATTAATAACAATTCTTAGCAACCACGTATATAGATTTTCTCCTAAGACAATCTGTCATCAACTTATCCCTTCACAACTGCTGTAACTGAGTCCATCTATCTTGCTGCTGGTCATCCTCTTTTTCAGTTTCCCTCTTATCTTTCCCACCATTCTAGCCTCCCTCAGAGAGTCTCCTGTGTATTTCCTTTTGTATTAGTAGGTGGTTCTAAAAGGCAGAAGCTGTCTATCACTTTGTTGTTTCCATTGTCAGTTATCAGGCTGGTTTCTTAAATACTTAATCATAGACCTTTTTTCCACCATACTCCTTGACTTTTATTACTGAAGCATTCAAATCACTTGTGTTTTCAGCTCTCAGAATACTGTCATCATTACAGCACAATTATTGATTTCCTTTCTCCAATTTTAAAGCAACATTTCTCTAATTCAGCTTCCCTCAGTATATGTTTAGTATATACGTTGAATAAATGAATAAATAAAACCATGCAGCAGTGTTTCACTTCTTTGCCAATATGCAGTCAGTCTTTTACACCATGATGCTTTCTGATTGTGCTTTATATAAGGACAGTAAGGTGTTCTAGGATTCTCACTTTCTTAAGAACATTTCATATCTTAATATACTCAACGCTGAAGATCTTTCTATCATGAATGAAGCACACAATGACTGTTTTTAGGCATTCTTTGAAAAGGTATCCTCTTCAGCATACATCAGCAATAAGGTAAGTAAGAGACTGCCTTTCAAGATAACTAATATTGACTGGTGGTTGTGTGAAACATTTCTGGAGTAATTGCTTTAACTGAATTGCCAAAAAGCTGTAGCATTTATTTATTTGATTCTTTCTCCTCCCTTTTTCTCTCAACTCCCACTTTCCATAGACAATATATAGAAATGTGTTAGACGATGTGTATGAATACCCTATATTGGAGAAAGACCTGAAAGAGTTTCAGAAATTACTCGGAATGCATCGTCGTCAGTAAGTTTCTTTTTTGGTCCTATTTTGTATTTCTTCCTTTAAAGAGTTATAATTATGTTTTTTCCCCTAATTTTAACAGGTTTTTTTATTTCAAGTGATCTGGTTTCAAGTATTTAATGTTTGTATAGTCAAGCACTGATTTTGCATAGTTTATAAGGGAATAACATGAAATAATAGGTTTGATACACAAATTATTATTGCAGTCTAATAGTCCATTTTTACTAGTATTGTAAAAATGTAATATATAAGAAATAACTACATCTCTACAGAAATAGAGCACAACAATGATGAGAACTATCTTGAATGCATTTAGGTCAATATTAAAGGGGGGGATGACATTGCCATAGGTCTATACTATAGGCCATCCAATCAAGCAGAAGAAGTAGATGAACTTTTTGCTAGTCAACTAACTAAGGTATGTAGGAAACACACCATAATAGTAATGGGGGATTTCAACTACCCTGACATCAATTGGGAAACAAACTCTGCACCAAGTAGAACATCCAAAAGGTTTCTAACAAACCTAGCAGACAACTTTGTTTCCCAAAAGGTAGAGAAGGGAACAAGGGGATCAGCCATATTGGACTTAATTCTCACTAACAGAGAGAAAATAGAAGGTGTTGAAGCTACAGCAACCTTGGGGGCTAGCGATCATGCAATACTGGAATTCAACATTATGCAACCACAAGTAGTAGAACAAAGTCAGACTAGAGTCTTGGATTTTAAGAGAGCTAATTTCAATAAACTTAGAAAGAGCTTGGGAAGGATTCCATGAATGAGAATCCTCAAGGGAAAAACAACTCAAGAAGTTTGGGAAATTTTGAAAAGTGAGATTATAAAAGCCCAGTCTAGCACAGTACCAATGAAGAAGAAAAATAACAGCTCCCAAAAGAAACCAGCATGGCTGCCTAAAGAATTCTCTGACAAATTGAAAGACGAAAAGGATGTATAAAAAGTGGAAAGGGGGGCACATAACTAAGGCAGAATATCAGCAAATAGCC